ACTAAAATACATATCCTTTATTTTAATATATATTATAATATATCTATTAAAAAATTATTATTTTTATATTTAAATTAAAAAACTTAAAATTTTAAATTTTTATAAATAAATCAATAAATATCAATTAATGTGTTAAACTTAATAATAATATATCAATTAATTTTTTGTCAACGAAACATATATTCTAGTTCTAGTTCTAGTTCTAGTTCAGTGACTAAATCCTCATGTCAGTTTTGTTGGAAGTTTACCTTTCGGGAGCCTGAGCCAAAAGCTACTTGTCGAAAAAGTGGGGCTTTAAATGTTAGGAATCACATACACATACTACCTATTGTATTTGTAGGCAGACAACAAGTTTCAAGTACTTGAAGATAATAGTCTCCTCCAAGGGCCAGAGCTAAGCTATGTGCCAAACACAGACATCCTAATGTGGTGTTGTCAGTTTTGATGGAGAGCAGAGGGTTAATTGGAAAAGTATTAGATATTCCCTCGAACAGAGAACGTATTTTGACTCCCTGTTTTTTTCCCTGACTTATTTACTGGGTACTGAGGGTGCAAGTGTGCGTAGCTGCCATATATTTTCCTTTTTAACCATTTTCAGAGATCAAAACACTCATCCCCCCCAATTCCCATCCATAATATCTCTCCACACCCAGCCAGAAGTGAAGGAGAGTGAGTGATCAGTAGTGCAACCAAACAAAATAAAATAAAAGAGAGAGAGTAAAGAAAAAGCAGCCCATCGAGGATTCGATCCATCATCTCTCTTGTTAGCGTTAGATATGCTACGATCTAGAGTCGCTTTCTGTGTCTGACTCTCATGACGACAACGACCCATGACCCATCACTTCCCTTTCCTTTGCCTGAAAACCTCCCTCCAGTCCTTCCCTTTCCTTCTCGTGTCTTATTAATTCTTCTCTCCTCTTCAAATATGAGTCACAGTTGGTCGGATTTGTGGAGGTCCAGTCCAGATTTAATTAGGGTTTCGATGCACTGAATAGCAGCAGTGGCAGTTAAGTTGCGATCTTTTTTTTTTTTTTTGTTCCTTTTACTTGGGATTAATTGGATTATTATTATTATGAATTAAATGTTACTGTGTAGATAGAGTAGTGATGTTCAGATTACCATTTCATTCATTAATTCTTTATCAACAGTCTCAGTGTCAGCCAAAGCCGAATGGTAAATTATTCCTCCAACTAAAACTAGTACAATTTCTTTATTGATCAACATATATATGTATCTGTGATGATATGATTCTTGATCTCATCAGTCAATTATTGATTATATAGATGTAGGTATACTAGTTCTCAGATTTAGATTTCCTGTTTTTGGTTTGATCCCCAGTATTTTTGGTGTTGTTCTGGTCCAACTATATGTAATTAATTACTGTAAGTCCGTATTGTTGAGCTGTGGTGGTCGGATGGAAGGTTGTATAGAGAGTAGATCAGATAGATGCAGAGATCGAGAGAGAGCTTCCCTCAGCCCACTCACGGATGGAACAAGGGGGTTGAACTAGCTGCCGACTCATTCATTCAGGCACTCAGTAGAGTGCCGTACCTACTACTACTGTGACTGTGTGAATGATGCGGGAGATAATTTTTCGTCCCTCTTTCTCTATGCTTGGACTGAAGGGAGCTCCTTCTTCTCCTTCTTCCCTTGTTTCCACGTGATTGCTTAGTACATCCATCCCTGTGCGGCTGGCTGTGCTGTGCTGTGCTGCTGTGCCTGACATGTGACATTATCGGGTAAATGTTACTTTCTCTTCTCCTCTGTACTTTTTACTTGCACAGCAACATTAGCGTTGGCATGTGGATGGGGATAGGATAGGGCTTCTCCCTCCTCTCCTTTTTCCGGTAATGGGGCTTTTTTGCTATATATGTACATCACATGATTAGATTGGGTGTTAAAGATTAATTATTTTTAGTAGTTTAATTCCTCAAATAATGTGGCTTAATTGATTAGCCTGTAGGAGAAGAAGAATTGCCAAAATAAAAAAAGGATTAAGGATGAGTATATTCTATTTCTAGGGTAAATCATATTGCATTCTGGTGTGGTCCCTTATCTCCTGCTTTTGGCCTCTTCCAGGGTCCTCGGAAAACCCTAATTTCACTACTCTGGTTGGCAATTTTTATCCATTACCCTCTTACATCACATACATATATTATACTTCTTGCTCACTAATATTATATTTTATTTATTCTAAAAAAGAAATCAAATTATATATTTCTAGTGTCTATGGGGCACCAGCGCCAACCCCAACCCCAATGATTCTTCTATTTTTTTTTATTTTGCATTTATCTTATTTTAAGAAATGAATTGATAAAGTATAAGTATCGTCTTATATGTTAAATTTAGAATTTAAATTTTGATAATAGCACTTATAGTGTGTTTGAATTGATGGAAATAGAGGGGAGGGGGAAAACATTTGGTTATAAAAGAAATTGGAGGGGAAGGGAGGAAAATATATAAGGTCTTTTACTTTATTGTTATTATTATTTTTATTTTAATAGCTTATCTAAATGAGATGAAGGAATGGGAGGGGAATGTAATATAATTCTCCTTTCTTTTTTTATTTTTCTCAATCTAAACATATGATTAAAGAAAATTTTAATTTTTTTACATGTATTAGGTCAGTGTAGGGGTCATATCTTTTAGGAAAATGATTTGTGCACATCTAGGTCAACACCCGGGTATGCACACTCCTCATTGAAAAAAAAATGCCCATCATCACCCAGTCCAATTTTTTTTCTTTATGTGGGGTTGCACACCTGGGTGTTGGATCCGGGTGTGCACCAATCAAGGTCCTATCTTTTAACATTGGTAGAGGAAAAAATTAATGAATTTCAAAGTGTATGAAAATTATGCCAAACACAACCTGATTGTTTAAACATAAATTTGGTTTCAATATAAAAAATAAATAAATAAATAAATTTGGTTCTTTATCCCTAAATTTTTGTATAATACTATTCCTTCCGTTTATTTTTAGTAGTTGTTATTTGATTTTTTTAATTTTTTAGATATAAATTTTATAAGATTTAACATATTATATAAATGATAATTAAATTTTTTTTGATAAAATAAAAATACTAAAAAAAAACTATATATAGGGGAGAAAATTTAGTTGTTGTTCATATAAATTATTAAATTTTCATTTAGAACTTATATCTGAAAAATCAAAAATTCAAATTATGACTACTAAAAATGAACAGAAGGAATAATAAAAACTCTTCCTCTTATTCAGTTATGGTAGTTTTGACATTTGTATAAAGTTTAACTAGATACTTTTGTATTAGTAAAGAGTGTTTATGGATTGAATTTTTATAAATTATGAAGAAAAACACTTTAAAATTATGTCATTTTAATAAATTTCTATTAAAAATTGCTAAAATAACTTATTTTTAAGTATGAATGATATTTTTTAGGTATTTTATCATAGCATTTTATTAAAATAATGTAGTTTTA